AGTGTGTTTTGTGGACCCGAGACCATCGATGTTTCCCGAGGTGAAGCCGAGGGAAACATCGAGGGTCACAAAACATACTGCTTTCCCGAGGTCTCAGTAAATAAGTGTTTTATTATATATCAATAGTCAAAGAAACAGCAAATTAAATAACAAATTAACATAAATACATGAAATATTTTATTGTTAAAACATTAAATTTAACACTACAGTTACTTAAAGCGAAAGTTTAAATTACTAGGCATGTCCAAAGGTCGCACCTTCACGTAATGGCGCACGTGATTTTTTTCGTTATTCGCCGGTCGATAACGTATTGTTTCCCTCTCGCGCTGTTGCGAATTTCGTCACTCCCATGTGATATGCTCTCGACCAATAAAACACTAGAAAAATGCGATTTTGACTATTGGTATATAATAACTGAGATTATTGCCATCATCATTATTATCATCATCTTCAATGGAGTTCAGACATCATTTTTGTAAAGTTTCATTGCTGTGACTACTGTATAAAGCAACTCGTAAGTAATGTTATGCTTTATCTAATATAATAATATACATATTATGCATGTGATGTTACTCTGAGTGTACATCCACACTGGGCAGGCTTAAAAACCACGCCTGGGAACGGTGGGAATCGAACCCACGACCCCTGGAATACCGGCCCAATGCTCTGCCAACTGAGCTACGCGATCAGGTGGGTTCGAGTATGTGATATTTCGGAACTGTGTCTAGTTCCCTAGATATCAGTGTAATCTAATAATCATGATATTTACTGTGTTGGTGTAATGTACTCGGGTGAATAAGGCCCGTTTCATACGCCGTACTTCACATGTGCCGAATACATTGAAGACAATAGGTAATGAGCTGAAATGCCTCATTATCTATTGTTTTTAATGTATTCGGTACATGTGAAGTACGGCGTATGAAACGGGCCTAAGGTGCGTGTGATGTTACTCTGTTAATATACATATTTTGTATTACTCGGATGTGATTGGTTGATTTCGGTGCAGTTAATCCCAAACAGCAGTGCAATTTTCTGTATTCACAGTGCAATTTTCTGCAATCACAAAGCCTGGAAAATATGGCTTTCATCTTTTCTTAAATGGAAAAGCCTTTACCTAAAACAAGACTGACAAAACTTACATACAGTAGTTGAGTGGAATTTTCAAGTTGTTAGTGTTGTATACTGTAATGTGATATAACAAAGCCAGGAAAACTTTGCCAGTGGAAGTAGTGGACGGTTCGCTATAAACGTACAATTGTCTCGATAATTTTTATGTATATTAATACGTAAGAGCATGGTTTCTCGTGAAATTTGGATAAAGCAACCACTCGTGAGTTTTTCAAAGACCTCAAATTGCTTGATGTTCTTTGAAAAACTCACTCGTGCATGTTTTATCCAAATTGCACTCGAAACCATCCTATTACCTGTACTAATCTTCTTTAACAGAATCCACCCGTCGTTGTCACGGTCTACCGTGCTATCATTTTCTGTCTTCCATTCTGATTAAGCTGTGCGTCTAGTCTTCTAAATTACCAAATCATCTTAGTCTTGCTTCCTCGATATTCTAACCCAGTCGACACACTTTCACTTTTTGTCTTGCCATAGAATTTTCACTGACTGCTTAGTAACTATATAAATATGCTTTGTATGGCAGGAGAGTGACGATGCCGAGCTACAAACAGCGTCTATCTTTGGTTCAGCAAAAGCAAGTCAAGAAGCGGACAATGTTATCATTTTGCAAGATAAGAAAGGAAAAAACGCCGGAAAATATCTGCAGGTATGGAAAGAACAGGGGACCAGTGTGAAAATGCTATCAATGCAAAGTTCACCAAATCAATTTTAATATTTACTATAATGGTGTTAAAATCCTAAAATTCTGAAGTGCTAAGTTACCTGCTTTAGTAACTTTTCATGAGCGCTTGTACTGGTTAAATCACTGAGCCTCATATTTCTATTTGTCTGTTAGGTTACTAAAAACCGTTTTGATGGCACACTGGGGAAAGTCTACTTAGATTTCAACCGCGATTCACTGACCATGTCATCCTACCAAGGAACCACCGCGACCACTGTGTCATCTAAGAAAGACTACAAGTTTATACGAAGTGTTAAGCCTCCTAAAACAGGCCTGAGCTCCAGGAAAACTAAGACTGAGGGTGAGAATGAAGAAAGGGAAACAGGTGGTGAAAGCGGTGCAAAAACCGGAAATCGAGAAAAGGGGAACTACAAAGAGAAAAACATAAGTTCTGAATCATCTGTTACATCCAGCACTAGTCTGGTGTCAAACAAGAATATAAAGGAGTCAAATTCGCGAAATAATCAAGCAGCGAAATTGAAGATTAATAATGAAAGTGGATCAAAAGATGGAAATCAGAAAGATAAACACAATACTGAATCTTCAGCGAAATCAAATACTTCTGTGGTAGCAGGCAATCATATAAAGCATTCGAATTTAAGTACAAATTCTGCTCAACCATCCAGTCAAGCAGTGAGACTGAAAAAAGACGAGAATTCAGAAGGAACTGCCTTTAGTACGAAAGCGATGCGTTTTAATGGACACTCGAGCAAACGGTCGCTTGTAACTGGAAAGAAGATTTCAGTTAAACAGTTGGATGCCAATAAGGTATATTTACAATGACAAAATGCATAGAAAGCAAAAGTTGTACATATTATTCGACACTTGTTAACTTTCGACCTAAACATCTCATACAGTATCATTGCAGTTACAGGTAAACTATACGTCAAGCGTTCCTGTTTTGAGTTCCAAACTTGATTGAAATTTTCCTTATGACTTTGCAAATTTGAAAAACTGCCTTTCAATTCCTTGAGGGAATTTGCAATGTTCCTATCAGCTGTTGCAGTAATTAAATGCAGAGAAACTTCCTTTTAAATTTTTCTAACCTCCTGTTTTAATTTCCTGGCTTCCTGTTCTACCCTGAGAGTTGTCATTGGTGCGCAGAACAGAACAGGAAATTAGGAATGTGTAACAGAAAGTTACATCTAACACGAACTGAGGAAAATTTAGTTGGCTTTTAGGAACATTTACAAAGCTAATTCCCACAAGGGATTTGCAAAGAAGTTTTGCAAACAAATTTGAAAGGAAGTAAGAAATATTGCAACTAAGTTTGAAACGCTTCACGAAGTTTACCTGCATGCCCCGTTCAACATTGTTAGACGATCTTGCAAAATGTTGGATGAAAATTTAAAGAAAGTCAAAACCATATACATACAGTACGGTAGGCCTACAAAATAAAAATATTACGAGTGTAGCCACCACAGAACAAAAACAGGGCATTAATTCATTTAAAGATGAATATTGGCCAGCCAGTTTTATCTCATGCTTTTAGAATACAAATTGTTGAAGGTATTTGCAGATGGGATTTTTGAGTGGAATTTTTATACATTTATTAGACCTAATGTATAAAAATTTCACTCCACAAATCTCTTCGACAATAGGCAATTTCGGTGCCCGTGCCATTTTTGGCACCGCATTATATTCTGCCTGTGACTTTGTTAGTTTGTTCGTTTGTTTGTTTGTTTGTTTGTTAGTTTGTTCGCATCAATACGTTTCCTTAATCGCCTACCAAAAATTCCTTGCACGTGCTCGGAATTTATTAATTATTATTAATCGTGTACACTCATGATGATCGACAGTTTGCTCAGCTTTATCTCTGGTTTTATGCGTCAAACAAGGACAAAAATACCACTGTTCGAATCAGCGTGAAAAGTTGTGTTTACGGATGGAAAATTGATTTCAAAATTGACTTCTATTCTAGGTATTTGTCGCCTTTGAAAGACAAAAGCCGCTCAAAATTATCCTTCACATTTTCCGAATTCCTTTTTTCGAGGGAAGTTTTCTTTCGAATTACAACTCGAACTCTCACGATTGACTTTTTGCTGCGTCTTATCTCCGGTTTTATGCGCCCAATAAGGACGAAAATACCACCGTTCAATTCAGTGTAAGAAATTATACCCACAGATGTCAAATGTATTACTAAACTACAGTATTCTAGCGATTTATGGCCTTTGAAAGACAAGCGAAATTGTATTGCTCACAAATCGCTCAAAATTATTAAACTTAAAAGTGCAATACATTTGACCTTGATAACTTTCGTATTGTTGGTTTTCTCTTTTTCGGCCGTATACCAGTGGATTCGTCTCGCTTTTCTCTTTATTTTGTTAGTAGTTTGAGCCCAAAATATTATATTTTGAAGCTTTTAATGTGCAGTTTTAATAAGCGAAATTGTATTGTTTACAAATCGCTCAAAATTACTAAACTAATTAAAAATGCAGTCCGTTTGATCCTTGATAACTTCGGAATTGTTGGGTTTTCTTGTTTTCGGCCGTATGCCAGTGGATTCGTCTCACTTTTCTCTTCATTTTCTCAATATTTTATTTTGAAGGCTTTAAAACGCAGTTTCGACCATAACGTACGGACCAACTGGCGGCCGACAAGAGAATGTAGCGTGCTAAATATTAAACTAGGGTACCTCCAAGGCAGGGGCGGCGGAACAGGGGGGCTAGGGGGGCTAAAGCCCCCCCAGAAGTAAAAGTGGGGGGGCTTAGCCCCCCAGAAAATTTAGTTTTTTTCTGGAAAAATTTGAAAATTAAGGAAAAATTTAGGTTATTTTTTTGAAAATTTATGTATAAGGGGAAAAATTTGCCGTATTTTGTTTAAAAATTGTGTATTTCTGGAAAAATTTTTTGTTATGTGTCCGGAAAAAAATTTTTCATCCCTTTTCTTGTATATGTCCGGAAAAATTTTTGTACCCCTAAAATGGTACACTGACCGAATTTTTTTTC